GGCCTCCCTCTCCAGGCCCTTCCCCTCTGGTGCAGCCTTCGGTGCCTTCCGACAGCGAGGAGTTTGGCCAGGAGCCCGGTGTTTCTGGGATTGGCCAGGAGCCCGGTGTTTCTGGGATTGGCCAGGAGCCCGGTGCTTCTGGGATTGGCCAGGAGCCAGGTGCTTCTGGGATCAGCCAGGAGCCAGGTGTATCGGACTCTGACGAGGATACGTCTTGGCTGGATCCACGCCAGCGTCGGAAGGATAAGCGTGCGCAGCAGCGGACACGTCGTGCCAGATAGTTCAGCTGAGTCACTGGGCCACACCCCACTGGCTATATAAGCAAGGGGTGTGGCATGAGAAGTTTCGTGACGGACAATTTTTGTGCTGGATATTCTGTTGCAAGCATTCTGGCAAGTTATCTCTGTTTGCTGTGTCTTATCAGTAAAGGCTTGGCAGGCAGCTACGAAGTTGCTGCCAAGAAATGCATTTGTCTTTATCTGTGCCGAGCAGTTTTTCAGGCCTCGGCTGACTGGTTGGGGGTGTGGGTCGGACGGGGGACAGAACATAACGAGTAGGGAGTGATCTCATTCGAGGTACAAGATTCACTCCCACAAATTTTCAAGTTACGAATGGAATGGGCAGGCTCCATTCCATTCGTAACTCGAGGACTACCTGTATTTTAAAGCCGGAGCATACAAACAGATAAAAAGGCTGATGCAAAGACATAGGGAAATATGGCCTAAAAATGGTATCTAGTAAATATTTTCCCTCTTTGCTTAAGATATTGGTTTATATTAATGTACACTTTTTAGAGCCTTTCCCCACTACCATCTATTCACAGCACAAACACTCCCTGGCAGCATTTTGTTGTTATTATTCCTGAGCCCATGATGCTGTTTGTGGATGGGACAGACTAAAGTCATTTTTAGCTGTGCTGGTATTAATGTCTTTCCTCTTATTCTATTATTGCCCAAAGGTAGCTTCCAGGTATGTAAAATGTGTTAGACTTTGTCACCTATTAGCTGGGTGGGAAGTCAGTTGACTGCTGCGATTTGAAACAAAAGCTGTAGGATTGGCAGTGGGAAAGGGCAACTTCATGCTGGTATAGCTTTCTGCAACTCAAAGATGGGTGGATAGCTTGCTAACCTCCTGACCAACATTCCAACCACTTGAGCCACTGTGCTCCTGCCAATAAAATGATTGTAATTCTCTCTCTCTCTCTCTCTCTCTCTCTCTCTCTCTCTCTCTCTCTCTCTCTCTCTCTCTCTCTCTCTCTCTCTCTCACACACACACACACACACACACACACACACACACACACACTATCAGAATAGTTTGGCATGAAAGTGGCCACAAAATACTATGCAGTTTAACTGTTTGCATTCAGAAGTTCAGAGGAATAGAACTGATAACCCTTTCTTTTATTTCTTCAGTACATTCAGAAGATGCACTCTTCCTATTGGCCACCTGTTACTATCGCTCAGGAAAAGCTTACAAGGCATACAGACTCCTTAAAGGACACAGTTGTACCACCCCCCAGTGTAAATATTTGTTTGCCAAGTGCTGCATTGATCTTGGGAAGTAAGTTGTCCCTACATATGTTAGTTACCATTTCTTGGCTTTCCAGCTGTTGGGTTACACAGATTATGGAATACTGTACATTCATGTTGAGATGTAAGAGGAAAGTATAAATGTACTGAAAGTCTTGTAAAAGAAAAGGTGAAGAAACAGACATATACACATATTCTCTTACAACTAGTATGAAGCAATTTTAAAAAGTACAGCTTGCACCTCTAAAATACTGATTTAGGTGAGCTCTAAATGTTAAGTAGTGTATAGAGTGGTTCAGAAATTAAGGGGGAAAAAGATCAGTCAGAATAGAGCTGGAAGGGACCTTGGAGGTCTTCTAGTCCAACCCCCTGCTCAAGCAGGAGAACCTATACCATTTCAGACAGGTGGCTGTCCAGTCGTTTCTTAAAAACCTCCAGTGATGAAGCACCTACAACTTCTGAAGGCAAGCTGTTCCACTCGTTAATTGTTCTCACTGTTAGGAAGTTTCTCCATAATTCCAGTTTGCTTCTCTCCTTGAGTAGTTTCCATCCATTGTTTCTTGTCTTGCCTTCTGGTGCTTTGGAAAATAAGTTGACTCCCTCTTCTTTGTGGCAGCCCCTCAAATACTGGAATACTGCTATCATGTCACTTCTAGACCTTCTTTTCTCTAGACTGTCCATACCCAATTCCTGCAACTGTTCTTCATATGTTTTTGTCTCCAGGCCTTTAATCATCTTAGTTGCTCTTCTTTGCACTTTTTCCAAAGTGTCAACATCTTTTTTGTAATGTGACCAAAACTGGATGCAGTGTTCCAGGTGTGGTCTTACTAAGGCTTCATGTGATTTTGATTCTGTGCCTTTGTTTATACAACCAAGGATTGTATTAGCTTTTCTGGCTACTGCCTCACACTACTGGCTCATATTTAAGTGATTATCCACTAGGACTCCAAGGTCCCTCTCACAGTTACTGTTTTTGAGCCAGGTTTTGCCTAATCTGTACTTGTACCTTTGGTTTTTTCTGCCTAGGTGTAAAACCTTGGTTTTCTCCACAGTAAATTTCATGTTGTTGGATAGGGCCCATTGTTCAAGTCTGTCAAGATCTTTTTGGATCCTGAGCTTGTCTTCTGGGGTGTTGGCCATTCCTGCCAGCTTAGTGTCATCTGCAAATTTGATGAGTTCCCCTTCTATTCCATCATCTAAGTCATTTATGAAGATATTGAAGAGTACTGGGCCAAAGATGGAACCTTGTGGTACCCCACTGCTTACTTCCCTCCATGTAGATGTACTGTTAAGGACCACTCGTTGAATATGGTTTACCAGCCAGTTACAAATCCATCTGCTGGTGATGCTGTCTATCCCATATTTTTCTAGTTTACCAAGAATTAGGTTGTGGTCTACTTTGTCGAATGCCTTGCTGAAGTCTAAGTATACTATGTCCACAGCATTTCGCTGGTCTACTAATTTAGTCACTTTGTCAAAGAATGAAATAAGATTGGTTTGGCATGATCTGTTTTTAACAAACCTGTGCTGACTTCTAGTTATTACTTTATTTGTTTCTAGATGTTCACAGATCTGTTTTTTATTATCTTTTGCAGTATCTTCCCAGGTATTGATGTTAGGCTTATTGGTCTGTAGTTTCCTAGGTCTGTTTTTTTTTTTTTTTTACTTTTTTGAAGATAGGAACCACATCAGCTCTTTTCCAATCCTCTGGTAGTTCCCTGGTGCTCCAGGATTTTTTAAAGATATGGTACAATGGTTCTGAGATAACATCTGACAGCTCCTTCAGAACTCTGGGATGTATTCTGTGAGGTCCCTGTGATTTATATTCATCAAGATAAGACAGGTGTTCTCTAACCATTTTTTTGCTTATTTTAATTTTTATTTCTAGTCTGCCTTTTTCAATTAGGTTTTTGGTAGGTTGGACTACAGTTTCTTTTTGTGTGAAGACTGATGCAAAGAATGAGTTAAGCAGTTCTGTTTTCTCTCCTCTGTTACTTCCTTGCCAACTTCTCTCTTAAGTGGACCTACTGTTTCCTTGACATTTTTTTTGTTATTTATATGTTGAAAGAAACTTTGTTATTATCTTTGACTTTTGTTGCAAGTCTTTCTTCATTCTGAGCCTTTGCTTTCCTGACTTCATCTTTGCAGAGTCAGGCTGTCAGCTGATATTCTGCCTTAGTTATGCGTGTCCCTCTTTCCATTTTTTGTACTTGTCCTGTTTACTTTCAGTGTATCAGTGATATGTTTGTGCAACCATGCTGGTTTCTTCTTGGATTTCTTTTTCTTTTTCAGTGGTATTGTGTTGGACTGGGCTTTTATGATCATATTTTTTATAGTTTCCCACATTTCTTGAGTTGTTTTCCCCTTTAGGATTTTCATCCATGGAATTTTTCTTAGGCTCTCTCCGAGTTTGTTAAAATCAGCTATTTTAAAGTTTAAGACACTGGTTCGGTTATATTCTATTGCTTGTGTTTGCATTATATTGAATTCCAGTATGACATGGTCATTCTCACCCAAGGGTCCGGCAGTTTCAACTCCCTCTATCACTTCTTCTCTATTAGCAATAATTAGGTCCAGTATAGCTTTTCTTCTAGTTCCCTCCTCTACCTTTTGGATGACAAAGTTGTCAGCTAAGTTGTTTAAGAATCTGTTCGATCTTTAGGTGCTTTACAACAGGTGAGGTCACTCATGTAGTACCTGTTGATACCTCCCTGTGGACAAATGCTGTTTTAGTGCCTCAACTTCCTCCAAAGCATTGCATAGCCCTAATATTAAGCATATAAATAATAATAATAATAATAATAATAATAATAATAATAATAATAATAATAATAATATTATTATTATTATTATTATTATTATTATTATTATTATTATTATTATTATTATTATTATTAAGTTGGAAGGGACCTTGGAGGTCATCTAGTCCAACCCCCTGCTCAGGCAGGATACCCTATACCATTTCAGACAAATGGCTGTCCAGTCTCTTCTTAAAAACTTCCAGTGTTGGAGCATTCACCGCTTCTGGAGGCAGGTTGTTCCACTAATTAATTGTTCTAACTGTCAGGAAATTTCTCCTTAGTTCTAGGTTGCTTCTCTCTTTTGTTAGTTTCCATCCGTTGCTTCTTGTCCTGCCTTCAGGTGCTTTGGAGAATAGCTTGACTCCCTCTTCTATGTGGCAGCCCCTGAGATATTGGAACACTGCTTTAGCACAGAAGAGGTATAAGGATTGTGTTTTGATGTCTATTTATCAGCAAATTTCTGTCACTACTGACTGAGCTGTTTTATTGCCTTCTTGCAATAAATGTGTCATTAATAGAGAAATCCTTCTTGTTGCAGTTTAACAAGGAAAGCATAGAGAAGTTGCTCTCTGCAAGCTTCAATACAGGATAGACAGAATATTTATTTAAATGTAAAACAATAAACTCAACAAATGCATGAGAGAGGATTTGTTCCTTTTCTGTAAATAAGGAACTGCATCTGAGGATTCCATCTTATAAATAGGAAAGCTGATATTTAAACCTTTATCCACCTCATTTCTATTCCTCTCATTTTACTTTGCTCTACTGTTTATTTTTCTTAATTTCTATTTTATTATCTTTAATCAGATTTGCAGAAGGAGAACTGATTCTGTATGGTGGAGTGTTTAGCAAACAGAAAAGTCATGAGGATATTGTGACAGAGTTTGGAGATTCTGCATGCTTCACACTGTCCCTTCTGGGTCATGTGTACTGGTATGGCTTCTCTACTTTGGGGGATAAATTGTTGTTCCTCCACTATCCTCACCCAATATGTTGAACTCATCACTGGCATGTATGTTAGTGGATCTCATTGTTAGACAGTTTCTATCACTTGGTTTTCATTACAAAGTTAGAGAAATATCTTTATAGTAATCCCCACCTTCCTGAGATACAAAACTCTTTCAAAAATGTTTGGACAGTTTTACCAATGTCATTTTACTAAGACATTCTGTTAAAGTCACTTAGCTGACTGTCCTCGTGTTTGTTTATTTTTTAAGGAATATATAGTTTGCATAAAGTTTATCTAAGAAATGCAAGTTACTAAATAAAAATGTACAAATTTTCTATTTCTACTTAACCTTCCAACATCCAGCTAACCAAGTGCAAGAGAGAATTCTAAAGTTAATTATATAGTCTGTGGAAAATGGCTGAGAAAATGGCTCTTCTTGTTTTGCCACTGAACTGTTTTTCCTCTATGTTACCCGCCTTCTCTTTTTCATTAACAGTAAGACAGATCGGCTTGCCAAAGGATCTGAATGTTACCAAAAGACCCTTAGTTTAAATCCCTTCCTCTGGTCTCCTTTTGAATCATTATGTGAAATAGGTAGGTTTTTTTCAATTACTTTTCCAAATTTTTCATCATCTCAGTATTAATTATTCTGATTAGAAATGGGAGACAGAGAATGTCACCTCTCCTGTTATGAACTGGAAAAATTGCAAATGTTTATAAATATTTTTCTTTGAGATTTGTCTTACTTGAAAGCTAGGATTGAACAGAAATGGGACTAATTGTTTCCAATGCTTTCCTTCTTCTGTAGAGCTTATTCAATTTTTTTATTAATATGATCCATGCTGGCTTGTATAATTTTTAATTCTAGATGCCAAGCTGTCCCTTTCAAAGTTTATTTTCAGTACTGAAGATAGTCACAGGAGCTAAATGTTTTGTTGTCTTAGAATCTCATTGTATCCTGTTTCAGAGAGATGTAAATAACATATATGTAAAAAAAAAAGAAAGAACTATAATCTGGACATAAACACAACTGTAATATATTCTAAAAAACAGATGACAACATTTTAGAGACCAAGAACCCATTTTGTATGCTGCACTAAGAATAAGAGAAGGGGAGGAGGTGTGATCGTGGGCATGGGCTGGAAACAAAAGTAAAACCTTTTTTTTTAAATAACAGAGAAAACAGAGTGGGAAAAAAAAACAGGGCAAAGCCAAAAATAATAAGAAAGCAAAAAGCCTTTGAGTGTTAGGACAATTTACAGGAGCAAATTGCAGTTCAAAATGTTGTTGTAGAGCAGGCCTCCTGGCTCTCATATGAGCATAATGCTTTCCTGGTATTAGAATTTTACCAGAGTGATGAGCTTAAAAATCCAAATTCAGAGCTGTTTTGAACAAGTCTTCAACCCCCACTGATCACTTTCCAAGACCAACATTTTATAATTAAATGTGCAGCAACAGTTGAAGGCAACAAATTCAAAAGTTAAAGTGCCTTAGAAAGACTATAATTGTTTCTGTTTCATACATGTAAATTTATATGTGCTTTTTTTTTTTGCTTTGGAATTCAGACAAAGTTGTGTAACTGAACTCACTCACATTGTACTTCAGTAGAAGTAAATGCGATTCATAGCTGAATGTGAAGCAACCATATATTGTTTACAGGTAGTCCTCGACTTACGACCACAATTGAGCCCAAATTTCTGTTGCTAAGCAAGACAGTTAAGTGAGTTTTGCCCCATTTTACGACCTTTCTTGCCACAGTTTTTAAGTGAATCATTGCAGTTGTTAAGTTAGTAACACGGTTGTTAAGTGAATCTGGCTTCCCCATTGACTTTACTTGTCAGAAGGTCGGAAAAGGTGATCACATGACCCCAGGACACTGCAACCATCATAAATACATGCCAGTTGCCAAGCATCCAAATTTTGATCACGTGACTATGGGGATGCTGCAATGATCGTGTGAAAAAATCATCATAAGTTACTTCTTTAAGTGCTGTTGTAACTTCAAACAGTCACTAAATGAATGGTTGTAAGTCAAGGACTACCTGTATTGGTAAACTCCATTGCTAATATTATAAGGTTATGGGAGGAAAGGGAAATAGTAAAGGATCCTCCGTACTCCTTTTCTTGAAGGAACTCTCTTCCACCTTCTTGAGCTTGTGATGTTGAATTTTAACTATGTCAGAAACTTCACTTTTAGGCTTTCCCAGGCTATAAGGTAAGGTTGCAATGTTAATTTCATTAAATACACAGCAAGAGCTGTCACAGTACACCCATCTCCCGCCTCCAAATTGTCCACTATTACTAATCATTGTAGCTAAATGTCTTTGCTTGGAGCTAGTATATATATTCAGTACTTGATCCTAGCCATAGGATTACAATAAACTTCTACTACTAGAGGCATCATTTAAAGATTTCTGTTTGAAAAATGAAAAGCAAGTAGATGTGTGACTAGAATAGAACTTTTTAAAATAATGGCCTACTATTGAGTGAAGGGAATGGATCCAATTCATGTTTCCACAGATGGAAAGGACTCTTCAAGTAGCCTCTAATACTATATCCCTACTTATATGAATTTACAGTTTTTGGAACTACATAATTCTGGGTCCAACTCAAATGCTATAACTGTTGTTTAGTGCTTTTTTTTATAAACTAATCTGATAGCATGCCATAATGTTACTTATTATTATATCTGTATTCACTTGATGCTTACTATTGGGGACACATTAGTCCAAGCTACCTACAAAAGCATTTCTTTTGATTGGAATATACCTGTCCTGTTTGAGCATGCTGGAAAGCATGTTTTTTATTTCTTCTCAGTAAGAGTTTCGAGGTGGGAAATGTGAAGGCAGACCTTCTTGGTGGAAGCTCTGTTCCTTTGTGATATGCTACCCCAGAAATTCATATATCACCCATACTGCTCTCTATTCAGAAAGTTCCCAAAACTTTCTGAATAGAAATAGAGCCAGTATGGTCTAGTAGTTAAGGGATCAGGCTAGAAACCAGGAGAATGTGAGTTCTAGTCCTTAGGCATGAATGCCGACTGGGTGATTTTGGGCCAGTAATTCTATCATCCAACTCACCTCACAGGTGAGGGGAAAATAAGAGGAAGAAACGAGTATTAAGTATGTTTGCTGGCTTGAGTTATTTACATTATAAAAATAATAAAGGCAAGATAAAAAAATCCTTTAAAAAACCCCTTGGCTCTTCTGCAGGATATTTGAGGTACATGTTCTAGCTCAGGGCTTTTCAACCTTTTCACAGATTATACCACTTTTAGGACATGACAATATTCGAGTACCACCAGTGCTTAGCAAGGTGTCAAAAACTTGATGACTGAAAAAAAAGGGGCAGGATTTTGGGTTTTACTGGTTAGATTCATTTGTTGTTATAGAAATGGCTAGTTTATACTATTATGGAAAAGTAAAAGGTTGAGGTTCGATGTTAATGCTTCATTTTACTGCAACAGAGGAAGTCGGAAGTCAATGCCTTTTCTTTTACCCTTCTTCCCCTCACTTTTTCCCCCTTCTTTCTCCCCACTGTGTCCTACTATTTCCTTTTGTATTTTTGTATTTTATTCCATAATCTAATAAAATGTTACAAACCGTAAAAAAAAAAAGGGAAAAAGCACCGGTTTTAATTTCTTCGGTGGCGGTTCCTTTGCTCTCAGGCCACGTGGAGGACCCCCGGCAGTGCAGGCTGCCCAGAGCCCTGGGCAGTGGAGGGCAAGCACCCAGCTCAACCCAACCTTCCCCAAGCCCCCCCCCCCCCCGGCTGCGCTTACCTTCTCCTTGAGGCTGCTGCTGCTTGGCTCGCTCTCCTTGGCCAGGTTGCTCATGATGTGTGCGGGAGGGCAAAATGTGTGGGTCAGAGGGAGGCCCACTCCCTCTCCACGCGAGGAGACCCAGCTTTGTAACCAAAGCATCCTCAGTGATAGGATGGGAGACCACCTGGAGAGTCAGGAGGAGGGGACAAGGGGATGGCAAAAGGGCAGCAGGGCTGGTCGTGGCCATGTGCTATGGCAAGACTTCCCTCAGACCCTCCCTCCTCCTCATTGTAATTTCCTTCCTTCCTTCCTTCCTTCCTTCCTTCCTTCCTTCCTTCCTTCCTTCCTTCCTTCCTTCCTTCCTTCCTTCCTTCCCCCTTTTCTTCTTTTTCCTTCCCTCTTCCTTCTCCTTTCCTTTTTCTTCCTTCCCCTCTGTCCTTCTTTTTTCTTTCCTGTCCCTTCTTGGATGCTCAAATGCAAAAGGGGAAACATTTCTCGATGCCTCCTTGCCTTGTGATCAAATGCCACTTTTGCTAGTAGTTTGTGGCCACTTAACAGATTGAGAACAAACCAGGCTCAGTTTATCCCATGCTTGCATTTAGTGGGGGTGTGTGCACAGACAACAGTACAGCAAAACTGTCAAAATGGTGGCTGTGATAGTTGATCAGAGCTCCTCCATTTTTTATGTGCAACAGCTTTAGCGTTTAGGAACAGAAGTAGCTTAGTTCCTTTTCTATTAATACATAATCCTTAAAAGGGCTCTCTTGTAGGGACCCTACCTTGGTCTAATTCAGACTGGAAATATAGCAAAGGAAAATATTTTCCCCCACTCTGCTTTGTCCTGTTTTCCCCACTGGAAATGGCTGTTAGCAACACACAAGGAGGGGATACTTTCCTAAGAGCTCACAATTGAAGAATACCAATGTTAACTTGGATTGCCAACAAAGTTCTGTCTGTGACAAAACAGAACACAAAATTGCTTTCTCCTTCAAACTGGGGCATTTCCAACCAAGTTGCCTCTCCCTTCCTTCCTTCCTTCCTTCCTTCCTTCCTTCCTTCCTTCCTTCCTTCCTTCCTTCCTTCCTTCCTTCCTTCCTTCCTTCCTTCCTTCCTTCCTTCCTTCCTTCCTTCCTTTTTAAACTACCAGAGGCTGGCAGAGGTGGCAACAGGCAGGCAGCGGTGGGCAGAGGCTTCACATTTTGACCGCTCCCCCCGTCGTTGCCTCTGCGTGGCTCTCAGCTCACCTCTCCCAGACCTGCGCACGTGTTTGTGTGTTTGTGTGTGTGTGTGCGGGCGGGCGGGCGGGCGGGCGGGCGGGGGGGTGTTGTTGCAGCCCTGTGCCCTCAGGAGAGTCCTTCTGTGATGGCAGGCTGCAAACTAATGAAAGCTGTTTTCGCGCGCCCAGGGGGTAGGGCGGGGGCAGCTCTGCAGCTCCAGCTGTCTCTCCCTCAAGCTTGTGCGGCGCTGCTTAATTTTATTATAATTTAGCTTTTTCTTCATGTTATATTGCTGATAGCATATGATTTAAGCTATTGTTGGCTATATTATTTGTTAGCTAGCTATTATTTAAATGGGCAGAAAGCAAATCCTGCAAATAAATATATAAATACCACTCATCAGACATCAGAGATTGTGTTAAAAATGTGTCACCTGTGGTTGTATTGGATAGGTATGCCAAAAGTTAAGCAATCTGGTGCCCTCAAGAAGTTTTGCGTTGCAATTCTCATCTGCCAGAATGCATAAGAGTGGGGAGTTAATATGAATTATAGTCCAAAAAATCTGATGGGTGCAATATTGCCTACTCCTGTTTTAAACTATTGATTGTTAATAATGCTGTATAGGAATAAAATTCACATATATATTCTGTGCTATGGAGTTAAGTAAGATCAGTCTAAAACATTTCCTTTTTCTTTTTTTGTGTCTTCCCCTGCCCCCCAAATCCCTTTCATCTTCATTATAGGTGAGAAGCCAGACCCTGACCAAACATTCAAGTTAACTGCTGTACATAACTTCAGCAGCTGCTTGCCTAACACATGCACAACAGTGGTGTCTAATCGCAGCATAATTCACAGCCAGCCAGAAATAGTTCTTATGGAAACACCACAAGACACACTTGTATGTTTATACCAACCATATTTAATTACCACCAACTGTATAGTTTATACTGTACATGCTCTTTAGGAAAAATATGTACTGTTTTTAAGAAATAGTTTTCTATTTCAGGAATCAAACAGACTCAACCTGGAGTCCTCCAACTCTAAATATTCCTCCAACACAGATTCCTCCATCTCCTATATTGACTCATCTGTAATTTCACCAGATGCTATATCTCTTGGAACTGTCTTCTTAACAAAACAGGCTCAAAACAAACCAAAAACTGGTCGGAGTTTTCTGGGTGGACCAGCTGCTCTGAGTCCTTTAACACCAAGGTAAGGAATTTGAAAATTGTTCCTCCATTCTCTCCTAGGACGCATTGTTAGAAGAACAATAGAGACTTGGAGGACTGTATACTCCAATAAATATAGAGTGACATATGCTTTTATAATAGAGAACTTGCTTCATGAGATGCATAAATGCATGTGCAAGTATGTCAGGGGGCGTCCTAATAGTTTAGATCAGTGGCCTCCAACCTTTTGGGCAACAGGGACTGGTTCCCCGGAGAAAGGTTTTTCCACAGACCAGAGTGGGTATGGTTTCGTGTGCTGCCTGCATCCCGCAGATGGGGCTTCGCTTGTTTGGGTGGCCTGGTTTTGGTCCACGGACCAGGGGTTGGGGACCCCTGTTTTAGATTATGTAAGAGATTCAGTAGGTTTCTATGTGTGTAAAATTAAAATGTGCACAAGAATAGTATCCATTTACAATAGCACTAAATTGATTAAATGATGCTACATTTGATATGTACATCTCTTACTCAGAAAGGGTGATAAATGTATGGATCAAATTAAGACCTGAATGAATAGGAACAAATTTACTAATAAAATAACTTCCTCTTGGAGTTTCCTTTTGAGTCTTGGGAGCCGAAGCAGTAGAATATTTAGAGAGTTGTGAAATATATTTCAGTTCTTTCTAAACATTCTCATTTTAAAGTCGGTTTTGTTATGGTTATTGTTCTGCCTTCTGCATAGGAGAAACAGATCATTGTCTGCAAATAACCTTTATGAATGTGTTCATAGATTTGCTAATATGGGCTCTAGTACACAAAAATACATGCCACAATAGCAGTGTGACCGAATTCAAACTTACCCAGGTGTACCCCCCCTCCTCAAGTGTTCATTTGAGTTTGCCTAAACCTTTTAACTAAAACCTAATTTTGTGGATATATTTTAAACATTATAGCATATTCTAAGCCTTCAAATTTGTTTTCAAAACCAGAGCTGAATTGAACACATAGCCCATTCCTGATTCCCCCATGATTTCTTCATTTCAGCAACCTAATTTAGGTGGGAAAATATATTTGTTGTTGCTGTGGTTAAATGTGGAAATCAGAAACCCTTGCTGACCAGCTTCAGAATCACCCAGAGTCTACTTGTAGATTTTCCTCACAGTTAATTTACTTTTTATGAGTGTTTTGAAGATAAATGACAATTGAGCTATTAGTTTATCTGAGTTCTATTCTTAAACTGAAGGGCTGGTATAATTTTCATTTATTACATTTCATTTATTTAAAATGAGTTATGTTATATCCTTTTCATTTTTTTCTTCTGTTCAATTGTGTCTGATTCTCAGAGACTGCCTGGAAGAGTCTCTGCAGTTTTCTTGGCAAGGTTTTTCAGAAGTGGTTTGCCACTGCCTCTTTCCTAGGGCTGAGAGAAAGTGACTAGTCCAAGGTCATCCAGCTGGCTTTGCGCCTAAGGCAGGACTAGAAGTCATGGTCTCTTGGCTTCTAGCCTGATGCCTTAACCACTACACCAATCTGGCTCTCATCCTTTTCATTAGCATTGTTGTATTCCTACAAAGTATTCAATAGCCTGAAATGATTAATCCAAATATGGAAAATGTATGTTCCCCTTTTCATATTGACAAACAAAAAATAGAGCTAATTCCTATAACAGAATTGAGGGCTGACCCCCGAGTCCACCAGAAGGGAAAGGAACAATTGTGATGAGTCTAATTTTCAGGCACAAAAAGGGCAGAGACAAGACAAATATAATTACTATTTACAAACTAACCAGATAACCCTGCAGTTTTCCAACAACAGAGTGAACAGAGGGCGATGGGACTTTAAAACGACTATTATCTGATCTTTGAGTCAGCTGCTTCGCTGTGAGCATCCTTTGATAGACTTACTGCAGGTGAATTTTGCTGACCTTTAAGCAGTCTACAGTCCCTAGCATGCTTCTTAAAATTAAGCCTTTTCTGAGCTCCTTCTGAGTTCTCCCTGTACAGGTCTTTCACTCAGAGAAAGCTATCCCACTTCTGAATTGCTTTTCCCAAGAGGACTCTATCACTTTGAAACCTGAGTGTAGCAGTTCGAACCCAGTTAATTCTGGTGATGTTTTTCCTGCAAGGCCCATGAGAAAGAAGAGCTCCAATCAACAAACATTGTTCACTGCTGATGAAACTCTAGTGTTTAATCTAGCTTCTGCTAACTTGCAGCCCAACAAACTGCTGCCACAACTAGAGACTCCCAAGTGCAAAGACCCCAAAGGAAAAGACCACTCTCTGTCTTCTTTGAACTTAGATGGGCTTCCAACATTTGCCTATAGCATGGTTCCCCAATTGCATCCCCCAGAAAATGTCTGCAAATCCCTATGGGGGCTAGATGGAGATGTTAAAGTTCTGATTTGTAAAGGTGATGAACCCTTGCTTCACAATCTCCCACAGTCAAAAGCTTGGCTTCAATGCTCATGCCACCTCTGGGGCTATCTTTTCTGACACTGACGTTGTCCTCCCCAATTCTCAGTTTTTAATACCCCCTGCTGGGAAAGGGGCACTGGCCTGATTGTAATGATACTTGTTTCTAGTTTGTGTTTGAGTAGTGTTTGCATACTCTCACCTTGAGTGGGAGCTGGATGAAGGGTTTGGGGTGAGTGGTCCTCCCCCGAGTGGCCAGTGAGAGGGACCAGTTGGGAGAGAGGACAGTGTACTTGTTATGGCAGGGGGAGGTTAGAGAAGTGGGAGTCCTTGGCGCTGAGAGCTTCCGCTATAGCACTGTGGGGGCTCCCTCCCTCATTTACCCACCCCCCCGGGATGTTTGAGAGTATGAATGTGAGTGACTGGAGGGGGATGGCAGAGCCCTTGACTCTTCAAGGAAGGGGGTTGGGGGGAAGAGGGAATGTTTATCGCAGGGGACATAGGACAGGATCAGGTATCACAGTGGTGATGGGCAGGGGATGCTACGGGAGCCAGAGGGCAGGCTGTTACAGGGGAAGACGCCCCCGATGCTTAATATCTGTGGTGTTCCAGCCCCCTGAGCTCATCCCCAGTCTCTGGACAGTATACCCTCAGAGGCCCTGTGGTCCAGCTGCTGATGAATGCCAGGTCAGTCAATATTAAAGCTCCTCTTGTTCAAGATCTTTTTAAAGAGGAGAGAGCCAACCTGGCATGCATTACTGAGACCTGGCTGACCCCAGAAGTGGGGGTTCCCCTCTCAGAGATGTGTGCAGCCGGGTTTCAGGTTTGGCACCAGGCAAGACCCCAAGGCAGGGCAGTAGTTATCAGAGAGTCTTTATTGGCTTTCAGGGGCTTTCAAATCTCTGGTTGTGAGACCCTGTTCCTGAAGTTGGGCTGATGGGATCAGATCGGATTGTTGCTAGTATACCAGCCTCCCTGCTGTGTAGCAACCTCCCTGCCTGAGCTGCTGGAGGCCGTCTCGGGGCTGGCGGTGGAATTCCCCAGACTTATGGTTTTGGAGGACTTCAATCTGCCATCCCTGGGTGCAGCCTTGGAAGCAGCCCAGGAGTTCATGGCCACCATGGTGGCCATGGGCCTATCTCAGATTATAACTGGCCTGACTTGGGAGAGTGGTCACACGCCAGACTCGATTTTATTATTGGAGCAATGGCACCATGACCTGGTGGGGGTGTAAGATTATCCCCCTTGTCATGGTCAGATCGTGCTCAGGTGTCCATGAGGCTCTCATACGCTGCCTCACGTACAGGGAGGCTAGACCCATTCCGATGGTCCACCCCCGGCAACTGATGGACCCTGATGGGTTCCAGAGGGAACTCGGGGATATCCCGGAGGTGTTGCTGCATGGTCCTGCTGAAGCTGTGGTGGCAGCCTGGAATTTAAGGACAGCCACAGCTTTGGACAGGATTGCACCCATGTGGTCTCTCTTGACTCATTGCTCCTGACCCTCCTAATGGTTTACGGAGGAGCTACGGTTTCTGAAAAGGGCCAGGAGATGCGTAGAGTGCCACTGGAGGAAGACAAGGGATGACTCTGACTAGACATGACTTAGAGACGCTATTAAGGCCTACCTTGTGGCAGTAAGAGTGGCGAAACAGCAGTATTTCTCCGCTCTTATTGTGTCCTCAGAGTGCCACCCAGAGGCCCTGTTTCAGGTCACCCGTTCCCTCCTATGTTAGGGGGGCTCAGGCGATCTTTTGCAGGTCCGGGCAGTGGAGTTTGTTCAGCACGTGATGGACAAAGTCGCTCGGATTCGTTCCCAGTTGGACCCCATGCATGGAGAAAGCCCGTGTGAGATGCCCGAGGAGAGGTCTTGCCCTGTTATCTGGGAACGATTTGATCCGGTTGGCCCTGATGAAGTGGACAGGGCCCTTGATGCTGTCAGTGCCAGCACCTGTCAGTTAGATCCTTGTCCCTCCTGGATGGTGAAAGCCTCCAGGATGGTGACTAGCAGGTGGGTCCAGACAGTGATTAATACATCATTAGAGGAAGGGACCGATGCTTTTAAGCAAGCCCTGGTTTGCCCTTTCCTTAAAAAACCATCACTGGATCCCACCTGCCTGGACAATTTTTGTCTAGTTTCCAACCTCCCATTCTTAGGGAAGGTTGTAGAAAAGGTGGTGGCCTGGCAGCTGCAGAGGGTCCTGGATGAAATGGATTATGTGGACCCCTTTCAGTCAGGATTCAGGCCTGGTTATGGACAGAGACGGCATTGGTCACGCTTGTCGATGATCTCTGGTGAGAGCGAGATGTCAGGGTAGTGCTCTCCTTGACCTCTCAGCAGCTTTCGATACCATTGACCATGGTGTCCTTTAGGGCTGGCTGCAGGGGCTGGGGCTGGGTGGCACAGTTCTGCGCTGGTTCAGCTCCTTTCTCTGTGGCAGGTCCCAATCGGTATTGATAGGGAGTGAGAGGTCCAGCCCTCAGCCGCTATTTTTTTTGTAATATATTTTATTGATTTTTTTAAACATAAATCACTTAATAATTGGTGAACAGTGTGTTGTCTGGGTTTACATTTGTAAAACAATCACTAACAATTGGTTTCTATAATCCATAATCCACATAATGGTTTTAGTTGATTTCCTCTTTTCCCCAAAATATCCTCTTTTGCAAACATTGAGTTAATACAATTCTTATTATTTTGATAGATAACAATTAAATATATAATTTTTCCCAATATTCCTAAAAATAATAATCACATCAATATAATATTTCTTTTCTATCCAATCATTCTGGTTGCCTTATCATAGATCCTGTTACAGTCCTTATTTAAATTTGTTTCTCCCACAAAATTCTAAGTATTCTTACTGGTTAAGATTTTCTCAAAAATTAATAACATTTAAAAATGTAAGTCTATTTTTTCCATATGAACCATCTCAGCACTTACATTTCTTAAGGAATAGATAAAACAGTAAAAAAAGAGAAAGGAGAGCAAGAGTAAAGAAACATAAAAAATAACATACTACTTAAAATATATATCCCTCCTAAGCTAATATATATTTGTTTCCAAGATTTCTTATTCTTTTTAACCATAATTAAAAATATATTTAATCTTTAAATATTCCATTTAAAACATCTAGTCATCTAGTCCTTTAACTCTTCTTCAAAACATTTTTTTCCATTATAATTTTCTTAAATTCAATCACATTTAAAAATCTAAAACATTTCCTTTATCTAAGCCATTTCAACTTTTTTATATTACTCATATCAAGAAATAGAATAAAAAAGGGAAAAAACATACTATATTATTTAGGAAATTCATCCCTCTTAGAATGACATATATATTCCAAATCTTTTCTATTTCTTTAACCATATTCAAACAAATGTTTCTTTTTTTAAGTATTCTCTCTGGTAGGTCCCATCATCTATTTTCTTGATTTCCACTTTGGTCTTTTTCCTTTGCCCAGTATCTTTCTTAATTAATGTATTTTGCTGAGTCAAAAGGTTTTTCCATATGTTCATTAATGTTACTGTAGATATAAAAAGTAAATCAGATGAAGTGTCTTTGTACGGGGCTTCTGCCTTTCCATGTTTATGAAAATCTTTTTCTTTCTCTCCGCTTCTCTTATCATTTCCTTTCTCTCCGATGTTCCTGACATCTCTACAGTCCATTTTATCTAGTCTGTTTTCTTGTCCTCTGATTTATCATGTCTCTTCTACATGATGGCCAAGAATTTGAATTTTCCTCTTCTTTTCTTTTTTCTGCAAATAGCTTTAGAGTCCTGATTAAATAGATATTTGTAATCCAAATAGTTCAAAAAAGATTTTTTTCTGAAATTTATAATTCTCTCTTTGTCTACAGCCCAGATTATTATCTCCCCCCCCCCACACACACACAGCTGTTCTTTGTTGTTAAAGCTTTGAAGGTCATAAACACAGATCAGCTTTTCCCAGGTTTTGTCAAGTCTTATATTAAAGTCATAGCTGTCATAGTCTTCATCCACCACTAGGTGTCAGCATCTATTTGTTTTTCAATTTCCAAAATGAACAGTTATCTTTAGAATGAGAGTCTTAACCATTCAACAATTTTAGATTTATCCAGATTTAAGTTTTAAGTTTCAGGTTTTATATTTATTTCACTTCCATATATTTTGATCCTCCATAAAAAGATTAATTCGCCGCTTCCGTTAGTATAAGGGTGGGGCGGAAATCCCCCTCCTTCCCTTTCGGAGGTATTTTGCTTCTTGGGGATCTTTTCCAGGAAATTAAATATAAAAGAGAAAAGAGAAGATCATATTCCTCACCCAGTTTCAAGCATGCTGTTCACAGTTGTGCTGGTTAGTACTTTTGGACTTCAGTTGCAAGTAGCTTGGGCTGGTCGATGAAGTACGGCCAGCCTTTCTCCTGTCAGGTTAGAAGGCTTTCCCCAAGTCGAACAGAACGACCGCTGTCGTTCCAGAATCACTGGGGCATCCTTCTTTCTTCGCCGCCTCTCCGGGGCGACTTAGACCCATTTAGGGTCCCCTGGCAGGGCAAAATTAGCCGTGGGGGTGCGGAGAATCTGCAAGCCCACGGCCAGTTGCTACCGCGCAAAACTGGAAGTCCCCTCAGCCACTATTCTGTGGTGTACCCCAGGGCTCGGTACTTTCTCCACTCCTTTTCAACACCTATATGAAACTGCTGGGTAAAATCATCCATCACCACGGTTGAGGTATATATGGTATGCTGATGACACCCAACTCTATATTTCCACTGTTGGTGACCCAAGTGATGCTGTGGCTGCCCTTTCGCAGTGCCTGGAGGCTATGGGGGCCTGGATGGGGGACAACAGGTATCGACTGTAACCTGGTAAGACCGAATGGTTTTGGGCTCGTGGGACTCTGGGATCCAAGACTTTGTCATCTTTGACTCTGGATGGGGTGGCACTACCCCAGAAAGGCCCAGTCCGCAACTAGGGGGTTCTTCTGGACTCGTGACTCCTGTTCGAGAAACAGGTGGCAGTCACAGCTAGGAGAGCCTTTGCACAATTTCATGTTGTGTGCCAGTTGCAGCCTTTCCTGGACTCAGTCGTTCAGTCCCTGGTCATCTCATGAGTGGAGTGCTGTAATGAGCTCTACATTGAAGAGAATTTGGAAGCTACATCTGGTGCAGAGTGCGGCAGCACAGGTAGTTTTGGGGCCCCCAAGAATGGCCCCTGTGACACCACTGCTCTGCGAGCTGCACAAGTTACCAGTCTGCTTCCGGGTGCAATTCAAGGTGTTGGTGATCACCTTTAAAGCCCTTCATGGCATGGGTCCAGGTTACTTGAGGGACCGTCTCAACCCATTGGGATTGGCCCATACCACTCGTGCTGGCAGAGAAGGCATGCTGCGGGTCCCGTCAGCCTGATTATGTCAAGCTACGAACCCTATGGTCTTTAGGACCGCTACATGCTTCTAACTTGCCAACAGTGCGGGAGGGAGAGGGGAGAATTTTGAATCCACAGGTGTCCTTATCAGTGTGAGAGCCGGAGCTGTTAAAGAATTGTTTTGGCGAACTAAAGTTTCTTCTCATAATAATTACTGAACGATGTATTGGACAATGTGACCTGAACCTGTCAGAGAGGGGAGGGAAAGTTCCATTCCTTTAATTAACTGCTTCCTGCCATTTCCTCAGAGCTAGCTTTCTTTTGACCCTGCCGGTTTGTATCTGCTCAATAAAGTATACATTAGAGAATGCAATGGCTCTGGTGTTTTGCTTTGGTTGGGCTTTTCCAGCGGAGGTTGACAGATTATTCTGGATGGCGGGGTCCAGGAGGAGGACTTTCTCTGCTGTTGCTCCTGCCCTCTGGAACATCTTGCCCCCTGATGTGAGGTTGGCCCCAACCCTCCTATCTTTTTGTAAGTGCCTAAAGACATGGTTGTGCCAGTTGGCTTGGGGCTCCAGTGGGGGATCAGCACAATGGAGGTGGTTGATTGAGTAATAACAGATCCCACCTCCCCCCCCACTCCGCCCCTGCCCTCCCCCACGTGTTTTTGGTTTTAATATTTTTCTTTAACTTTTTATGTTACTGTAAGCCACCCACAGTTACCCTACGGCAGACATGTCAAACTCGCGACGTCATGTGACGTCGCGCAACGTATCGGGCTGGTTTTGCCATTGCCGGCAATGGGGTGGGCGCGGCTTCCAGATGACGTGTCCGGCCCGCGGGCCAGCAGTTTAACACCCCTGCCCTATGGTAAGATGGGCAGCCAATAAATGTTTATAAATAAATAATAAATAAATAAATAATTGAACATAGTATCTGTTACATTTTTAAACTTGCATACATTATATAACTTGAAGTTTGTAATTTTTTTGTCTTAAAAGAAAGTTTCTGCACAGTGTAAATATTAGCCTTAGGCCTGCAAATTACCCTTATTTTCAAAAATGCCCTCTTTTCCTGCCTCCTCTTTCTTTAGGGACGTATATATTTTGAAATGCTCTTGTATGTTTCCTCAGCTTTGGAATGTTGCCATTAGAAACCCCTAGCCCCGGAGATGGATCTTATTTACAAAACTGCACAAACTCTTCTTCTATAATTGATGTGCCACCTCCAGGAGCCACTTCCAAGAAGGTATCTTTCACTGAAGAATGTGCATATGAGATTAAACTCAAGAAAATGTAAAATTATGGGTAATTGTTCCTTACAAGAAAAACATGTCAAAGCCACTTCACAATATTTAGTTTCTGTGTATTTCCCCTCCATTGCTTTCCCAGTAAAATATAATAGCAAAGAGGAAAATAGATGCAGACACCTTATATAGATAATCTGCAAATATTTTTAATGTACCATTTTTCCAAGATGTAGAAACTGGAATTTTATTTTTAAATTACATTAAGATGCTTATCTTTAGAAATGGTAGAACCTTTGCAAACCTTTCTCTTTACACTGCTTTTTTTAATGCTAGCTCATAAAAGGAATGAAATTCAGAGCAACTATTCAAAACCTGGTAGAGAAAACCACTTACTGCATGATAGAATCAATGTGAAAACCGAAGCTCTTTCATCTAGTCCTTATTCATTGTCCCTGCTTCATAAAATGGGTCCTTCTACCTTATATAAACTGGTGAAGTTAATAACAGCTGAAATCAGCTTCACTGTGGTTTCACAGCTGTAAAGATGGCTTCTATAGGTTTAAGACAGTCAGCAAGTACAGGTAGTCCTCAACTTACGACCACAATTGAGCCCAACATTTCTGTTGCTAAGCAAGCCATTTGTTAAGTGAATTTTGCCCCATTTTACAACCTTTCTTGCCACAGTTGTTAAGTGAATCGCTGCAGTTGTTAAGTTAGCAATACGGTTGTTAAGTGAATCTGGCTTCCCCATTGACTTTGCTTGTCAGAAGGTGATCATGTGACCCCGGGACACTGCAACTGTCATAAATATGGACCACTTGTCAAGCATCCAAATGTAAATCACATGACCATGGGGATACTGCAATGGTCATAAGTGTGAAAAATGGCCATAAGTCATTTTTTCAGTCTGTTGTAACTTTGAACGGTCACTAAACAAACTGTTGTAAGTCGAGAACTACCAGTAACACTTCTTCTAATAAAATAGATTAAGTGAAAACAGATTATTCTGTTTAGAAGTTTGTAATCCATCATACAGTTATTCCCTAAGGATTCTTACTGAAACTGACAATATGCAGGATGGTGCCTGCTTGCCCTATTCTTGTGAGTGCACTGCAGAATTCAGTTCTGTCACTGCTGTGCCAACTTATGGGCCTATTAGAAGAAAGTAACATGTCTAACAGTGTGATGTTTGCCAAAACCAATGGGTTATTTTATGGCATTATCTATGCCATAAAATACTTGCCATTTTATACTTAACTTTCTTCTCGCTAGGTAACATAGTGAATTAACAAAATAAATATATTTAGCAGGTTGTCCCCCATTCCTGCCAATAAAAGTCATGAGTATAAATCACAATCTGCAATTGCTACAAATATAATGCACAATTAACATTATCCTTTATTTTTGCATAGACTGTCACCAGAATAAATCAAGCTGTAACAAAGACGGTCTTCTCACAAAGTGGCAATAGCTGGGAAGTAACACCAATCCTTGTTGCCCAGACCCAAAGTTCAGGCCCACAGACAAGGTATGCAATGCTTTCCTGGCCTAGTGTATAATTTTCCTTCCTGTTTCCAGATGTATGTTTTCCTTCCTAGACTGCTTCTGCTGTTGTCATGTTTCTGGTTGAGAAACATAGTTGAAACCCTAACACCATAAATTATGTTAAGAAGTTTGATTTCTCTTTCCAGTACAACTCCTCAGGTATTGAGCCCAACTATTGCTGCTCCCCCTATTGTGCTGCCTCGAAGAAGTTCACGTTTGTTCTCCAGTGATAGCTCTACAACCAAGGTAAATCGGAATTGTGTGCGTTATATAGCTGATTTTTGGATGCACTGAGCTCTTATCCATTAATCTTTTTCAGGAAATTCAGAGCCTGAATGAGCAGCAGCATAAATATTTAATGGGATTACAAATGTAATTAAAACAGGACTAACACCTTCATAATGGTGTCAACCTTTTCTGAGCAGAATTTATTTCAAGTATGCTCCAGGCCACGGGTGTCAAACTCGCCGCGTCATGTGACGTGTCCGACTTTTTTTGCATTGCCGGAGCTGGGGTGGGCGTGGCATCTGTATGATGCAACCGGCCCGCAGGCCAGCAGTTTGACACCCCTGCTCTAGGCCAGTAATTCTCAATCTCAGCAATCCTCAATCTTCCCTGACTGAGGAATTATGGGAGTTGAAGTCCACACATCTTAAAGTTGCTGAGATTGAGAAGCATGCTTAGGCTGTGAAAACCTACGTCACAAAATTAATACAGGTAGTCCTGAACTTAGGACCACAAATGAGCCCAAAATTTCTGTTGCTAAGATAGTTGTTAAGTGAATTTTGCCCCATTTTATGACCTTTCTTGCCACAGTTGTAAAGTGAATCACTGCAGTTTAGTAACATGGTTGTTAAGTGAATCTGGCTTCCCTATTGACTGCTGGTCAGAAGGTTGCAAAAGGTGATCACATGACCCTGGGACACAACTGTCATAAATATGAGTCAGTTGCCAAGCATCTGAATTTTGATCATGTGACCATGGGGATGCTGCAATGGTTGTGTGAAAAACGGTCATAAGTCACTTTTTCAGTGCTGTTGTAACTTTGAACTGTCACTAAATGAACTTTTGTAAGATGCAGACTACCTGTAGTCCTTGTTTTTGCTGTAAAACAAATCACTATTTTTACCCCATTACAAACATTTCGTATGATAGTGTTACAGATTATGCTTCACTTCACATGTAGATAAGTGCTCTAAAAAAAATACATTTGCACATGTTTTAGACATATTTTAATTAACAATATTTAAGAGCTACAGTCCTTTCAAAGCATCTTTCATATTGAAATCACCAGTAAAAATAATGTCAAAAACCATTAAATCCACAATGAAGTGTAGCAAAGCTATAGTTGCAAACATTCTGAAGATACTTTTTCCAGTACCATTATGCCCCTCTGCTTTTGAGCCATCCACCTCCCTCACTTCAATGTAACCACTTAGTGCATACTAAATGATAATTGCTGGTGTACAGTAGAACAGCTCTAGTTCAGCTTTCTTGAGTGGAATTGAGAGTCAGGAGTATAGTATTAAAAACTGGGTGGGAAGATATCGTGGGCATTTTTGTTCTTTAGGCTTAGTTAATACTGCTATAGAAAGTGGGTAATGTGTGTTCTGGTGTCCCATTCCATTATATATGTTATATAAAATCACATATTACTTCAAAGCCATTTCTAAAATGTGACAGATTTTCTAAAGCCTTTGCATTCCTATTATATATGAGTTTTTGGCTACTATCTGATGCAGGCACATCATAGTCAGGGAGTAAGTAGTGGGGAGGCAGGTCATTGATGAACTAAAAAGCATTTTTCTGGTAGAGAAATGGACCATTTTATTCCTTCCAGTTTTGTGATTCTAATTTCATAAAAAATCACAAAGCTTTGGGAAAAAATAATCAGATGAAAGCCAAAGTGAGTGGAGTTAATACGATTATATATACTGCACATTTCAGTACCATACCACATGAAATTAAATGAAAGGACATGTGAAATTGGGCTGAGGGCTGCTGTTTCTCCATCCAAATCTTAACAGAGTTCCTCTAAATTTCTATCCTTGAATGATTGCTTTGCAAATTTCTGTCCTTGAATGGTATACTTTGTTGTTTGGCTGCCAGGTAAAATTCTTTAAAATGTTTGTTCTTCTTTCACAGGAGAATAGTAAAAAGTTAAAAATGAAGTTTCCACCAAAAATTGTAAACCGAAAGAAAAAATGTAAAACCAGTAAAGGAGGGATCACACAGCCAAACATAAATGACAGTTTGGAAATTACCAAACTTGATTCATCCATCATTTCAGAAGGAAAGATTACCTCGGTAACACCACAAATCCAGGCATTCACATTACAGAAAACAGCAGCAGGTGTGTAGAATGTTTCTGAGAATTCCTTCAGAGCATTGAACTTGTGCCAACACAAAAGGCAGTGGTAATGCATAATTCAAAAACAAGAAAGAGAGAAAATCCCTGTTGGAATCAAGTTAAAATAGTGCCAGTGCCTCTAAATTTTTTGTTCTTTCTAATTAAGTTGCCATGATGTTCAAAACCTTAAGATTATCTTACTGAATGAGAATTCAACAACAGTGGGCAATAATCACAAATTTTTACAGGTATGTGGTATAATCCAGAGGATATTTGTGTGTAATATGAAGTTATATCTCAAATTTTGGATTTGAATCAGATCTCTTTAGTCTTACTCAGCACCTTATTCACTGGAAGAAAACAGTTGTGCTGTGTTCACTGAAACTGTCGGAATTTCATCTAGGTTTCTTGAGAGTATGTGCCACATCTATCACCGGTAGCATACAGGCAGTTTTAGGCAAGTATTTCTTGATCTCCTTGTTCTCCTGTGCATTTATAATATTTTTTTCTTAGAAGGTTTGATGACCCTTCTTCGTGATATGGGGAAAGGATATTTAGCCTTGTGTTCTTACAATTGTAAAGAAGCCATTCATATACTGAGTCATTTGCCTTCTCACCACTACAACACAGGCTGGGTGCTATGCCATATTGGAAGAGCTTACTTTGAACTTGCAGAATATATGCAGGTAAATAGCTCATGGAATCATTCTTATTTTTTGGATGCTACATTCTGTATTTGTACTGCACTGAATTGTAAAAAATTGACCCCAAAACATACCAAAATATCACCTCTGACATTGCAAAAAAAAAAGGCTATTTGTAAGTGCTGTTGCTTTGTATTTCATTCCCTACCATGCTCTGCTTTCAGGGTACCTTATGAATTCCTTTTAGATACTCTTTCAACGGGTTACCGAATACAGAAACAATTTCTGGTTATGTTGTTCTGTATAAGGAGGAGAAAAATGGATACTGTCTCACATTTTTTGAATAAAATTTGCTGTAACTACTGCAGTTAATTAGCCATGTGAACATATATGTGAATAAGAATGGTTGTTACTCAGCATTCATGTAACAAATGGAATCCACAGAATTCTGTAAAACCCCATTAATGTAGGGAAAAAAAGAAAAAAATTGGGGCTGAACAAATCTCACTTCCCTTAAAATGAAACACTGAGTTTATTAAGCAAATTATACCCTTGCATCAAAACCAAGTTTCATATAAAGCTATATAACTAAATTTACCCATGTTATGTCAAAACCTAATCATGTCGTTCAAATATCATTTGTTCATTACTGTCATAGGCTGAGAGGATATTCTCTGAAGTAAGAAGGATTGAAAACTATAGAGTAGAAGGCATGGAAATCTACTCAACCACACTGTGGCATCTGCAGAAAGATGTAGCTCTTTCAGTCCTTTCAAAAGACTTAACTGATATGGATAACAATTCACCAGAGGTATCATTTCTAGTTATTTTGAGGCAGGGATTTTTTTTTTTACTACAGTTTAGCCTCTGATTCTTTCCTTCAATTTCAAGTGAACAAATTTGAAGTTGAAATTACTTTACAGATAGTCCTCAACTTACAACAGGTCATTTAGTGTCTGTTCGAAAATACAACAGCACTGAAAAAAGTGACTTATGGCTGTTTTTCACACTTACAACCATTGCAGCATCCCCACGGTCATGTGATCAAAATTTGGACACTTGGCAATTGACTCATATTTATGACAGTTGCAGTATCCCGGGGTCAGGTGATCACCATTTGTGACCTTCTGACAAGCCAGGTCAATGGGGAAGCCAGATTCATTTAACAACCGTGTTACTAATTTAACAACTGCAGTGATCCACTTAACAACGGTGGCAAGCAAGGTTGTAAAATGGGGCAAAACTCACTTAACAAATATCTCAGCAACAAAAATTTTGGGCTCAATTGTGGTCATAAGTCAAGGACTACCTGTATTTTACTCTGCAAGCTTTTTCTTATGTGAGCGGGCACTTAAATAGTAACATCCACATTTTTTATATTTTCTTCTCCCTCTTACTATACTACCTAAAAGTAGAAACAGGGGGGACCATAGTTTTGTGGTATGTCTTCTACTTTTTCTTTCTTCCAGGCATGGTGTGCTACAGGAAATTGCTTCAGTTTACAAAGGGAACATGACATTGCTATCAAATTCTTCCAGAGAGCTATTCAAGTTGATCCAAATTATGTTTATGCTTATACTCTCCTGGGGCATGAATTTGTGCTGACAGAGGAACTTGAAAGAGCATTATCCTGTTTTAGGAATGCAGTCAGAATGAATCCAAGGCACTACAATGCTTGGTAAGAAATATTTTTGATTAGTAAAAATGGTGAAGGCTGGGAATAGATTTATCCGTCAAAGTATTTGAAAAGCTCATTTCCATCCTTAGTATACAGTAACTTAGTTCTGGAGTACAAAAGGGATTTATTTAGAATCCTTTTTTCTCTCTCTCTCTCATTTTTTGTATATAATTTCAGTCCAGTTCTCATAGATGTGCAGGGCCATACTTGTCTATTATTATCATGTGTGGGTAATGTACAGTTAGAGTCACAGTCTAAGACTGCTGGAAACTTAATTATAATTCAAATCCTAAACAAAGACCTAAGAATTAAGATAGTTCCTAAGGATATATGCAGTTTCAAACAAAGTTGGGGGGGGGGTTGGTAAAATTAGGGGGTTCAGGTCCAATAAGTTCTAAATTTCCAAATATCAAGGAGTCCTATATAGGTATTGTTCCAATGGCTCCAATCACAATTAGTATAACAGATTTCTTTTTTCAAAAACATTCAAATTCAATCTGCATGTCCCAGTATTTTGTAATTTTTTCTAATTGCTTTTCCTCAATCCTAGCATCACCCAGTATAGCAACATCAATGAACCAGACTGTTTTCTTTTCAATGACTGTTATATCAGAGTCATGTTGTGAACAAGGTGCCTATGTGTTTGAATTGTAAAGTCCTATAAGATCTTAACCCACTCATTTTCCAAAACTTTCTCAATTTGATGTTCCCAGTAGTTTTTGCTACATTTAAATCCAAGCCTCTGCCAAAAATTCCAGTGAATAATTTTGGCAACTTAGTTATGATGCTGCTTATAGTCAGTTTGTGAAATTTTACTGCACCCACTGATCAAATGGTCAATTGTTTCATCCTTTTTCTAAAAAGTGACATTTGCTGTTGTGTGTTACATGCTGATTGTTGCTTTCATGAAATTAGTTGGCAAAGTTCTTGAGCCACTAAAATAAAACCTTCAGTTCTTTAACACTCCTGTTCTTAACCAGCTCAGCTTTCCCTTCTGTATCCTTCAGGTATTGACCATGCATGGGTTTGTTCTTCCAATTTAAAAATCAGTTTTCAATAGTTTCTTTTCAATAGTCAGCCTTCAACTTTGTTCTCAAGAGCTGTGCTTGATTGATTTCCCACAGCAAGGGTTGTTGGCTTTTCTTGATATAGTCATTCAAGCCATGTTTTTCTTCCTCCACAGTTTCTTTCACCTGTGGGAGTCCTCTGCCCCCTTCAACTCTTGGGCAATACAGCTGATCAGTATCGCTTTTTGGGCACAAAGCATGGTGCTTTGTCAAAACAAGTTTTCTTGTTTTCCAATCCAGGTTATCAAGTTTCATCTGGGTCCAGTCAATTATTCCTGCTGTATATCAAATAACAGGGACTGCCCAGGTATTAATTGCTTTGATATTTCCACCATTTAGCTTTAGAATTTAGATATGAAAAATTTCCAAACTTGTTTGATATATTGTACTTCACACACAGTCTAGTTTTGATTTTCTTATTCTTCCAATTTCCTTGCCTCAAATTCTTTAAATTGCTCAAATCCATGTGAATTTTCTTTATCTTCAGTTCCAAGCAAATGTTCCATTTAGGTTTTCCCTTCTTAATGGCCCATGTTATGACCCAGGTGGTCAAGGCAAGGCAGGGCTGTAAAGAGTTCTTTATTTCTCTTAACAAATATTTCAGCCAACGGCCCTCCAACAACTGGTAAGGCTCCACCCTCACGCTACCCTGAAGGTAGCCACCCTCAGACTCCCAAACACAGCCCCGGTAGTACAAAGAAAGCCCCCAGAGTAGGAGCACACTCACAGGGCAAGGTCCAGGGTTCCAAGTCCAGTCCACCAGGCAGGGTCCAGGCACAATACAAGGGCAGTCCTCAGGACAAGAAACAGGACCCAGAAAAGAAGCAGTTCCAAAACCCCAATGAAGCAAAAGCCAAACGTAGGCCACAAGAGAAGGGTGAGGTCCAAAACAAAATGCGAAAAGCAATCTTCCAAGCAAGGCAAGGCAAACAGCAATAGGCAGGAGTAAAAGCCAGGGGAGTGTATGCCAAAGCAAACAATTGTTCTTGGCAAAGACTAACTCCCCATGGCTTCTCCTTAAGTTACTACCCTCCAGGTGTTCCTTGTGAGGAGGGGTGGGGCAACCTCCTACTGAGTAGCCTTGCAGCCCTTCTGTGGGCTTGCCTACATCCACTCTCCTTGCCCTTGAATCAGTGGAGCAGGCAACTGTTCCTCATCAGAGGACATTGGCTGCCTATCAGCACCACTGCTGGTCAGTAGCCGATCCTCCCCTGTGCAGGCAGGCAGCTCTTCGTCTGGTCAACCACCTCCCCCAATGCCTGAGGGGCTCTGGACAGCATCAGCCTCAGTCCCTGGCATGCCTTCCCTGTCGGACAGTCCCACCTCCAACTCTTCCTCCTCCTCCGAACCAGCCTCTGAGGGGGCCATGACAGCCAACTTCTTCAGTAGCTACATAGGCTACAGCATACATCAGCTAGGATATTTGGATCAGTGTTTCAGTTGGAATAATTTTGACAGCTTCATTAATATTCTTCAATATTTTAGCTAACGTCTTCTTGTTAATTTGATTCAATTTTAGCAAACATATTCTTTCAACTTCTTTCATTCAGTCTTTTCCCAGCTAGTTCTTCATTAACCAATAGTGCTTGCAGTTCTTCAGCAACTACAGTTATTTCTCCCTATTGTTCTTCATTAACATCAACAATCTCTTTCTACTATTTGTTGCTCAATTTGCAAATTGGTATCATTATTGAAGGTCTGAATAAACCTGAATATTGAGTTGTTTTTTTATAGCTTCCAATTCAGCATTGGTAAAGAACTTGTGTTTCAAAATTACACACAAAATTACACAACATTCCACAATTGAGTAGTCTTCTTCCTTTGACCAAGTTCTTTGGTTTTGATTGCCTTCCAGTAGTGTGTAAGATCCATGCCCTGGTTGCTGATCCCTGTAACACATTTCACGATGAATGCACAGGAGCCATAGCATCCAATGCAACTCTTGTTAATCCAGGCAATAGTCAATCCTGCATGAATTGCGTATTCTCACCATATTGAATGGATTTTTTGGAACAGATTTAGTCTGACTCTTTAGCTAAGACCTGTCTGATGTGGTTGGACCTGTTCAGTGTAGCCCTTAGCATCACTCCACCATGGCAAGATACTGTTCTGTTGGAGGGGTTATTATTATTATGGTTGGTTGCACAGTCAGCCAGATGTTCAGACTGGATTTGGCATTTTTATCCACCTATCGAATCCTTACCAAGGAATTGGGATAGGCAGGTATTGATGTTTGAGGGTGTTAGAGGTATCGTTGCAGGATGTAAGCTGTTCCAAGTAAAGCTACCTTTTGCAATTGACTAATGGTGAATTTCTCAATGCCAATGGTGTTCAAGTGGTGCTCCAGTTGTTTTGGGATTGGTACTGCCTTTGCTTTCTTTTGCCACAGTATTTTGTTATCTGCGCCAGTTCTTTATCTTCTACTCTGCTGTCTCCAGGTACTGCTATGTCCGCTATCCAGACTTTTTTGTCTTTCTTATCAACAATTGTTAAGTCTGAGATGTTATGTGGCAGGTGCCTGTTTGTTTGAATTCTAAAGTCCCAGAGCACTTTAGCTTCTTCATTTTCTATGACTTTCTCTATTTTATGGTCCCACCAGTTCTTGCTTGCAGTCAAATGGTAATTCTTGCAGAACTTCCAATGCACCATTGTTGCTACTTTGTTGTGCCGTTGTTTGTAGTCAGTCTGTGTAATTTTCTTGCAGCAGCTAACCAGGTGGTCCACTGTTTCTTCACCTTCTTTGAAGAGGCAGCACTTGCTGTCTATTGCTGTCTTCTCAATTCTGGCTTTGTATGCATTTGTTCCTTTTTATATATATATAAATATTTTATTAATTTTCTATTTTTACAATCAAGTGCCTAATAGACAACGTGATGACTGAGTCCATTAGTGATTCCGTGGTACATGTAAGTGTCATGGTTCCGACTAATGAAACACTTCAAAGAACTTCCAGGCATGTTTATCCTAAAGCCTTTATTAACAGTGTTACAAATTGACGGCACATCATGGAGGTTTATGCCAGAACCTGAATTTCTCTTGCTTGCGTCTAACTTTTCTTTCTAAACCCCTCCCTTATTTTGCAGTCATAAGTCACATCTTCCAATTAGCCCGGAGGGCAAAGATTCACTTCCGTTCCTTTTTCCCGGGCTTTCCTTATGAATCTCCTCCCTCACTCTGTCATCTGAATTAACTCTAAAAATACCAGACACTTCTGTATATCTTGTCAAAGCAATAATATCATATATTAACAGCGTTGACATCCGGCCCCCCTTACAAAAAGGACAGATCCTGTAATGTAAACAAAAGCATATGTTAATGACTAGTTTTCAGTTTGTTGGGGTATTTCACATGAAATCTTTTGACGAGCCTGTCAGCTTTCACCTCACTGGATTTCACCCAGGTGGCTTCAGACAACGGGTATCCCTTCCATTGTACTAGGTATTGCAATTTCCCTTTAAAAATTCTAGAGTCAAGAACACGTTTCACTTCATAGTGGGTCTGTCCTGCAACTACGAGGGGCCCAGGTGCCTTCTTCGGGGAGGTCTTAAAGTGGAGCCCCGATAAGGTTTCAACAAGCTGCAATGGAAAACTGGGTGAATTCTCCCTAAAAGTCTAGGGAGTTTTAGTTCTACGGTGACCGGATTGATGATCCTTACTATGGGGAAAGGCCCCAAGAATTTTGGTCCCAATTTCTTGCTGGGCAATTTGAGGCGTAAATATTTAGTTGTCAAATAAACCTTTTCCCCAGCTTGGAATGTTCTTTGGGGAGCCCTCTTTCTATCAGCCTGCTTTTTATAGGTTTCAAAAGTCTTTTTTAAAGCAGTTTTTGTGTTTCTCCAAACTTCTTCCCACCCCCACACCCATTGGTCAAGTGTCTGGGAAGCGGAGGGCACCTGAGGATATTCAGGTATTGGGCTGAACTCTTTTCCTTTG